ATATTTTATTTATTTATTTATTTTTTTTTTTTTTACAATTTACAGTTTACAATTATTGTGATAAATATTACATTAAAATTTGAATTAATATTATAAATATGAGTTATAAATGATAAAAGTCTAACTAAGACTCAAAAAGCACAGCTCCGATTACCCTGATGTTCCACAAGCCACTTTAAATCGTTGGTTGTTGTTTTTTTTCCCCGAGCTGCTGATGCATAAACTCAATTTCACTGTTTATTTTTAGATGTAAAGGTGATTGTCTGCTAACACCTCGATCCTGCGGGAACTGAATAAACATTCTGGACATGAGGTAACCATGGTGACGCGAATAGAAACCTGAGGCATTTTCACAGGCAGCTTAATGGTCTTTGAGGGTGTTGCGGATTCCCCTGAGCTGCTGAGCAAGTCGTCCATGCATTGCCTTAAATTCAGAATCTCATCTATTCATTCCAAGTCCATGTTTATTGCAGATGCATATATTATTGCAGTATAAATTCAATAGAAACCAATGATTATATTCACTTAGGTTATAATGCAAATGCATAAAAAAGCTTTTGCAGGCATTTTATGCGCAGCAACATGGATCAGCAAAATAGATCTATATATATATTGATGCTATAAGGGCAAAGTCTACCAAAAGATTATGTTTTAATAGTTGTATTTTCAGCCTCCAGTGCGATATATAAAACAGCATATGGAGTGAAGGGAATTTCTATGTTACTCTGGCTGGCTGTGATTCAAAAGACTTAAGAGAGGCAGTGAAACACAAACAACACTGAGTCATCGCGATTCAGCGGAGAATTCTCCAGATGAAAGCAGTTTGCTCAGTCTGTGAGTTAAAACTACCAAACGCATCCTTCTCTTCGCTGTGTCACGAGGAGTTGTGTCTGTGGCTGCATATGGGACCTTGTAGAGGGTTTATTTGTTTTGTTTTCTGGTAAATCTACAAAGATTAGATTAGGTTTGTTTTGAGAATGAGATTTCAGATTTTGAAGGATGTTAATCAGAGATTTTTGCATGGATTTTAGGCGACATGTAATCCAACAACGCAGTCTTTCAGACACAATTGAACAAGAATACAGTTAAATATTCACAATCCTTCCATTTATACATACACGAATTGAGTTGTTCTAACATATAGTTTCACCCAAACCAATAAGTAAAACTAAATAAACCTTGGATTGAAAAAATTATGTATGCATTTATTTTCAATAATACATGACAGATAAGAAAATACAAATACATAAATGTTTTTTAAAAAATAAATAAAACCTGCCACATCAACAAACAAATAAATCCTAATACTAGACTGATTGATCTTTCACAAAATGTTGTCCTGAAACATCCTGATCTCAGTTCTTGATTTAAGTTTCTACAAAAGTTCACAGTGACATCATGTGGTAGAGATATGAATCGCTGTACAAATGTGTAAATAGAATGGATAATTGCCATCAAGGACTGATAGTAGATTAAAAAAGCATCAATTATGAATGAAATAATATTTTAAAATATATGTTTTGCCTGATAGTTAGGGTGCATTTTCTTTGCTGGTCATAATTTTAGAGTAACTTTGATTAGTTTTGACTTTCATTAATATTTGTATTGCTGAAAACAGGACTAGCTCTGTGTAATTACACACTTGCATTTATTTGCAAAATGTTGGAACAAAGATTTATGGCTTTGATTTTCTCACAGTTCTAGTGTAAATCATGTTTTGTAAACTATATATTTCATAGAAACATATTATGGCAGTTTATTTTGAAATTATATTTTCAGGTCTACTCCATAAATATAATTTAGTACCATAAACACCCCTTTTTAATAAAATTATTGTTCTATCTGATATTTTTGTCAAAATTGAGTTATTCACATATTATTTTTACATTATGTGATTTTTTTAAGTTGTGTACATTTTGAGACTTTATTATTTAAAAAAAGGTTCTATCTACAAAGTATGTGGAATGCGAAAACTTTGAAGCTCAATATCTTCTGATATTTTTGTCAAAATTGAGTTATTCACATATTATTTTTACATTATGTGATTTTTTTAAGTTGTGTACATTTTGAGACTTTATTATTTAAAAAAAAGGTTCTATCTACAAAGTATGTGGAATGCGAAAACTTTGAAGCTCAATATCTCAAAACCTCTCAGAATGCAGATAGAACCTTATAATTCCAAGGTGGCCATTTGTGCCTAAAGGGTACTTATTGGTACCTAAAGAGTTCACCTAAAAAATACTGTCCCAGTGACAGCTTTTTTCTGAGAGTGTAGGGTAAGGTACACAAAAAAAAAGTGTGTACCTCTCTTACTAAATCTGTACAGAGGTAATGTGGAAAGATCTTTGTTCCTGGCTGTGTTTAGCACCGGTCGCTCTGCATATTCTTCTCAAGAATCTGAAGTGTTTGTCTTTTTATCCTTAATTATTTCCGTCTGTTCTCAAAAGTGTGGCACATTTTAGTTACAATATAAAGCAGGCTTTGCAAACAAATATGTGGAGTTCTACACTAAGGGGAAAACTACACTGGAACCAACAGAAATGAATGTAAGTAAGCACATACGAAGAGGGTGTATGAATAGAAATCCTAAACACATGGCAGAAACCAACAGCACAGTGACACTGTTTTTTGTTTTGACCATGGTGAACAATACTAGTACTAATTAGTACTAATTAACATATTAGCTTAATTAGGTGCTAATAT